ATTTGCACAATTTGTGCCACAGTTTGTTCTCGCACAACGCACTCGATAAGTGCGGGTATATCTCAAAGATTGCATAATTGCCACAGCGAAAGATACATAACACATACATACATATATGTACACAGCTGTCCAATAGCCGCTGCCTATGTGTGTGTGCGTGTGTGTGTATGCGTGTGTGCTTTTGTATATTTTGGTATTTTCAGTCACTCGTCAATTGTGTTTTCGCATTGAAATGATTGAGCAACAAATTAATGAAATCAAATCAAAAGAGTGCAAAAGGAGCAGCAGCAGCAGTGCTTGTCAAAGTGTGCAAACAAATGACTCCAAAACTGCAACTGCGTAGCTAACACACTCGTGCTCACTCTCTCTCTCTCTCTCTCTCTCTCTCTCTCTCTTCTAAACTTAACTACTTCACACTGTGATCAAAATGTTACCAAAGCTTGTCAAACTGCAATGCAAAATGACTTCAAAACTACAATACATATGCTTGTCAAAGCGTTAAGTTTAAAGTAGTACAAATGCTATTAAATGTGACTTGCATTCACTTGTAAAATGCCTGTCAAACTGTATGTGCTTTGGTTTTGCGTCTAACAGCTGAATGGCTGCAAAACTGTAATTGTTTAATTAGATTCTAGCTATTACAATCTATCGACAATCTAGCCTGTGCTTTTCAAACTGTAAATGTATGCTAGGCAAGATTCTAAAACTGTGAGATCGAAATTCCCATATTCTAGTTCTGAAACAGCTTGGTAACTGAAATCAAACGAAGCTTACATATGCTTGTAAAACTGTATATATATACTCGAGCTGACGCTATAATTGTAGCGGTCAACAAATATGATTGTCAAACTGTAAGCAGAATCTAAAACTGTGAGAGCCAAACTTCTGCATTGTCTTTCTAAATCAAGAGATGCTCACAAACTTTAGATAAAACCAAGCTGCTTCTCAAGCTGTTGCAGTTGACCAATATGCTTTTCAAACTGTAAACAGAAGTTGAACCTCACCTCTACATTGTCGCTCTAAAAGCAATCTGTTCAAAAGCAAACTGATATTTGTATCATAAAAAAAATGGAAATCAGAATTTTACATATGCTTATCAAACTGTATATAGCTAACTCTTAAACTGTAACAGCTAAACTAACTTATTGTCTCTCTTTACACTTTCTTGCAGTGGAATCCCTCATCTACTGGCGCGATGTGAAAAAGTCCGGCATTGTCTTTGGCGCCGGGCTTATCACACTGGTTGCCATCTCCTCTTTCTCCGTGATAAGTGTGTTTGCGTATTTGTCGCTGCTGGCGCTCGTCGGCACCGTCGCCTTCAGAGTCTACAAATCCGTGACACAGGCCGTACAAAAGACAAACGATGGCCATCCCTTCAAGTGAGTACACATTTATCTATGCATATAAAACGGCTTCTAACTGACTGATTGAGTGAATGACTGACTGATTGAATGTCTGATGGATTAAGTGGCAAATTGATTAAGTGACTAATTGACTGAATGACATACGCATTGATTGAAGGACTGATTGATTGACTAGCGTATTGATTGAATAACTGGATTTAGTGACAGACTGAGTGACTGATTGATTGACTGACAGACTATCTTATTGATTGAACGACTGATTGAGTGACTGGCGAATAAAGTAACTAGCGTATTGATTGAATGACTGATGGATTTAGTGACAGACTGATTAAGTGTCTGATTGACTAGCTGACAAGCGTATTGATTGAACAACTGATCGATCGATTAGCGTATTAATTGAATGACTGATGGATTGAGTGACAGAATGAGTGACTGATTGATTGACTGGCTGAATGACTGATAGACTATCGCATTGATTGAGCGACTGATTGAGTGACTGACGTATTGAGTGACTAACGCATTGGTTATATGACAGATGGATTGAGTAACAGACTGATTAAGTGTTTGATTGACTGACTGATTGAGTGACTGAATTGACTGGCAGATTGAGGTGCCTAGTTTCGGGTTCAAGCTCATAACCGATGATCTTAAACATGTATTTTATTTTCTATAGAGAATATCTGGAACTGGATCTGACGCTGTCTCAGGAGAAGGTGCAGCACATCGCCGGCGTGGCTGTGGCACACATCAACGGCTTTGTTGCGGAGCTGAGGCGTCTGTTCCTGGTTGAGGATATTATTGATTCAATTAAATTCGGTGTCATTCTGTGGGTGTTCACCTACATTGGCGCCTGGTTCAATGGCATGACCCTGGTCATTTTGGGTGAGTGCAGAGCTCTTTGATATGGTCATCGTATGGAGATTAATTATATTTGCATATCCACAGCCTTTGTCTCGCTGTTCACCTTGCCCAAGGTCTACGAGAACAACAAGCAGTCGATCGACACCTATTTGGATCTGGTGCGCAACAAGTTGACGGAAATCACCGACAAGTAGGAATCACATAACCATATGCCATATGTTCAAGCTTTACTGATAATGTTTCATTTCCTTCATTTATTCCTACAGAATCCGGGTGGCTCTACCCATTGGCAACAAGAAGCCTGTGGCTGCTGCTGCTGCCGAGTCGGACAAGGACAAATAGAAAGCAACAACAATAACAACAGCAACAGCAACAACAACAACATGTTTATTTATTTATTAAGCATTATTTGAATGGTTTAATATTCATCCGGGGCATAACAATTAAATACATATATTCAACTGTATAATTACAATTTACAAAAAAAAAAAAAAAAACTACAAGAACGAACAACATCTTGCTATTGTGAACCCAAAACATAAAACTAAAAAAAAAGAAAAAACATTTAAGTAAAGAATATCAACTCGTAGCAGTTTAAACATTGTCCAAGTGTCTTTAAGTTTTTTAAACGAACGAAACCAATTTGAAATTCAGATGAAAAAAGAAAAACAAAGCTGTTTAGAAAAATGAAATGAAAAACAACAACAACAAAAACAAAAAACAACAAAAACACAGCCACAGCAATGCAATTAAACGCTTCCTCAGTTTCCAAACAATTTCTTTCGAGACTCTTAACGAAAAGCAAACTTTTTAATACATTTACGATTTAGTTAAAATATGCATACGCAAAGAAAACTATGCAAAAGTCTTTTGAAAACAACAAAAAAAGAAGAAGAAGAAGAAAAAAACAATCAACATTTTACACCCATTTTTATTAGCAACTTTTTTTCTAATTAAAAACTCTTTGCTTTAGTTCTAATTTTAATTTTGTTGATTTCTTTTTTTGATAAAAAAAATAAATCAAAATAAAAAACAAGTGAAGTAAACAATTACAAACAATTTTAATTTTCGATTGTGTTCGTTTTATACAATATTTATTATTTTCGATTTTTAACGTTTTTAGCGTCAACTGAAGCCGGCTGATCCTTTCGCTTTCGTCCCTGCAACTCAGCCTTGATAGGATGGCCTGATTAACAATTGGACCAATTTGTTTATAGAGAACATAACGAGTTGCGCGCTTGATCTTAAATCGCAAATCGAACAGATTATCGAGCACATAAATAAAACAAACAGCTTCGCCTTGTTTCATACAACATTTACTTATGTACAATTAATTTATAAGAATTTTTACAACATAAATCAAATATTTAATGTGAATTTGTTTGCGTAGCACAGCAAGTTGAGTTTTTGCCAACTTTTTAAAGTTCATATTCATAAAATCATATACATACACATCTATTGTAGCTTAAATGTTTTTATTGTAACCATTTGTTGCTCATTGTTATAAAAAAAAAAAACTAAACAAAAGAAAAGATATTAATGAAAGTGAATATTTATGATTTGCGTTGCTTTCGTTGAAAAAAACGTTTGTCAAGTGCAGCTATTAAGCAGAAGGAAAAATAAAGGACTACTGATAACATTTTAGGCGTCGTTTTTCTCCCATATAACTACGATAACAATAGATATTTTTGCATATTATATAACACTTAAAACGATATTTCTATATATGTATGTAATATGTAAGTGAATACAAAAAGTATAAAAGAGAAAAAACAATTCATAAAAGCGATAAATGAAAACGAAATTTTCAAGTGAAAATCAACTTTCCGAGGATTCGATTCGATCCTATATAAACGATCTTATACACGTATATCACATAAATGTGCAGTAAGCTATATGCTTACTTATTACATTCAAAAAAAAATGAGAACATTAATCAGTTGATTTGATCGTATAAATTTCAATAAAAATACAACTTAAATAAAACTAAATCTAAGTCCGTTTGAATTCTTTGAGCTGGCGCGTCAAATCAAACAGCTTTTGTCCGTGCACAAAAGCTGTTTGATAGCTGCTGTTGGCAAAGCTGAACGCTAGAGGGCTGCCAGCATGGGCAGCCAGAAAGCAAACAAAAAGCATACAACACTCTGTCGGAAAAAAATAATAAACAATACGCATGTATGACCTTCGTACAAGGTGACTGGGACACACTGCGCGCGCGACCAGCACGAGAGCGACAGAGGGAGAGCGAGAGAGAGAGAGCGAGAGGCAAAGTGTTAAAAAGCGCCAGAGAGTCATACAAAATGCAAGCAAAGCGTTGCATGAAATGCACTTAACATTAACATAAATTTTGCCAATGCCAATTGGCGAACGAGCAGAGAATTCCACTCGCTGATAAGACACAAAACGCAGAGACAGCCTGAAGCAGAGTTGTTTACAAGAGCGAACGCAACGAGAGAGCGAAAGCTTCTCGAAAAGCGAATGAGAAAAGTACGTGTCATCGCTAACAAAATACCCTGCACTAAGTGGCTTACATGTAAAAGCAGTCGAATAATTGCATGCATGAGCAATATAAAGGCTTTGAATAGATATATAAATCTATATTTAATAAATGTACAATTAATTGCAGATCAAATCAACACGTAGCCAGCAGTGTCGCATAGACTTGTAAAGGAAGCTATATACCCCACAGCTTGGCGGCTGCTGGGCATGAAAAGCTCTCGTGACTAATAACGCATGCGAAAAGTGCACGCCGTCTGAGAAGTGCTCCGGATTTTGCAGCGAACGGTTGTTTTTTTGGTCGCGCGCATCGTTCCCGTCTTCGCTGTTTCGCGTATTTAATTCGTCTTATAGTTTTTCCTACACGCACCCACGCAGCAGCAGCAGCAGCAGCGGCAGAGGCAGAGGCAGAGGCAGAGCAAGTGACAGGCAGATAGAAAACCCGTGAAGCAACTACCTCAGTTAGCAGCAGAGAGTCGAAGGCGCAATGTCGAAGCCACAATCGGACGCGGATCGCAGGAAGCAGATATCGGTGCGCGGCATCGCTGAGGTGGGCAACGTAACCGAGGTGAAGAAGAACTTCAATCGCCATTTGCACTACACCCTCGTCAAGGATCGCAATGTGGCCACACTGCGCGACTATTACTTTGCGCTGGCCAACACTGTCAAGGACAACATGGTCGGACGCTGGATACGCACACAGCAGCACTATTACGAGAAGGATCCCAAGGTTAGTCAGTGTGACCAGCCCCATTTAGGAATATTGATTTTATGCGTGTGCATGTGTGTGTGTGCTGGTATTTTCCAAGAACGAAAATAAGTAAATACCTAACCCAACTTTTGTTGCGCCTTTGGCAAAAGAAAGGAAACGAGGTCAATGTTAAAAGGCTTTCAATTGGGTTTCTTCATTTTGTTCTTTTTATTTATTTTTTTTGCTATTACGACATGCATTTTGCGCTATGCGCTTTCGGCCTATATTCGTATTTGTCTCTCTCTGCAGTTGGCCAAAAGTTGTTTTTTTTTTTTTTTTATTAATTTCTCTTTTATGTTAATTTTTGTTTTCTTTCTGCTGCGCCTGCTTTATCATCTGCTCATTTATTTTGCTTTCCTTTTCTGTTGTTTTTTTTTATTTTTTTTGCTCTCTCAATTTTCGTGTCCAATTGTCTAATTGCTGGCTGCAAACTTGGCTGAAATGCATTGGGATCAATGCCAAAAACGTGTGTATGCCAGGCCAGAACGCTTTCACTGCGTCGCCTTCGGCATGGGGTGGACCAAAACTGCGTAGGCCAAAAAAGCCGGTGGCCCAGTCTTTCTCCACGAGCAGCTGACTCCAACAAGAGGGGGTTAAAATCAAAATAAAAATAGCTTTGGGTTGGCAACACACACACACACACAGCCTTAGATAAGGAGAGTGAGAAAGAGGGCGGGAATGTACAATATGTTTTTAATATGTCAAAGTAATGTTTATACCCTGTATTGATTGAGGTAGGCAAACGGGTAGATAAGAACGATTATAAGGCAGCTGGAGTTGGATAATTTATGAGATATACATTCTAATTTGAAGTAAGCTCTATTTGCAGTTAGGAAAAAATATTACTTAAATTTTCTGCACAAGAATTTAGAAGGTCAAAATTAGCTCTTGTTTAAAATAAATAATAGTTGCAGGGTATATATAATATGTTCTATATATTAACAAGCTTCGATATCACTTCTTACAGAGTATCTTAAAGCACATCATTTGCCTCAATTAATAATAATTTAGTGTCTTAGCTAGCTTTCTGCTAGTTAAGCTACATTCTCCTGCTAATAGGGCATTTACAGGGTAGCTGCTAGTCGAACACCTGAGCATATTATTGCGCCTAGAATATTTTCTGTGTTATCAAACTGAATTTGCTGGTTTAATGATCTTCTTTGGCTAGCTTTAGAGTCTATGCACTATTGTAGGCTATGTCCAGGGTATCTTATGGTCTAATACTTCCGTTTACAATTCTTTGAGTTTTCTTGGCAATCTATATATCAGCGCAGCAAGCCATAAATCGAGTTAATAAACGCTGAAAGCAGATATTAGCACGCTCCAGTAAAAGTTGAGGCATGTACATCATATATATATAGGTATCCATCAGATACACACACACACACACACACTTACACCTATACCAGTGCAATCACGTGCGGCAGGCGTGCGATTTTTGCGAATTTCTGGATGGCAACTTTGTCCTTGCCTGAATGTCAGTCAATCGGAGAGGGAAACTTTGCGTTTGTATCTTTGTATCCATGAGATACATTTGCATATGCCGCAAACAGCTGTTGAATAAATTGTGCACCCATGCGGAATTCTTTCCAAAAAAAAAACCAACAAAATTTGGTCAATTTAACTAATTTATCTAGAGTGCGATATTCGAGCAACAGCCAAAAACAATTAGAACATGAAACATAGATACATAAATGCTATTATAGGCACGGCAGACACCCAAGCACACACACACACACACACACACACACGCACAGATATAGACACATATTTTCAAGGTCAAGCAAAGGTTATTAACAAAAACGAGAGTCAGGAAAATTTTCATTTATTTCATTTTTATTTATTTTTTTCATGTATTCGTTCTAGTTTTTCGTTTTAGTTGTTGTGTAATGTGTGTGTGTGTGTGTGTGCGTGTGTGTGTGTGTATTTATTTTGGTTCCATGAAAATGCGACAACGTTGGAAACTTTCATGGTGCTCGTTTATGTTTTGTTACACTCTCATTACGCACTTACATGCTATCCATTATAACCCAACCAATTTATATATATATATATAAATATATCTATCAACTGTATTAGAAGATGTATCTAAGTATCTTTTGTCTGTGCCTAGCTACATAGCTGTGGCACAAGCTGAAACTAGTTACACTTAAAGCTAATTGAGTCCACTTCTTTTATGGTTCCTTCTTGATTCTTTGAAAGTTGCCAATTGAGGGGCTGCCTCCAATTGACGATGGGTCAAAAGGGGTAAACGAACTCTATTCAAAAACATTTCCATGAATTATATGTAAGAAAGCTTTATATGCAGCAGAGATACTAAAAGATATCTAGATATCTAGATATACTATTGTATAATAATATAATAATTTTTTCAAATTTGCTTTGGGAATTGAAAATTATAGAAATTGAATTTGTTTATAGAAACGGCATATTCAAAAACAGAAGAAGTCTAGTTTTATCTGAGGCTTTACAGGGTATCAAAACATAGATATCCTGGGTAGAGCAATATTGTAAATGTTTTTTGAAAGAGACAGAAAATAAAAGAAATATAAATTCATATATTTTCTTTTGAGAACAATTGAAGAAAACATTTAACGATCTGCAAGTTAAAGGCTTATAAGCTCTTAAGCACAAAATAAGCGCAAGAAAACAAACTTTGCTGTTAATTGAAATTTGTTTATTAACTTTCCCAAAGTACCACATCAAAAAACTCAATACTCGAACTCCAGATGTTATATATCACAACAACAAAATTATGAATATAAATAAATATTGCTGCAGTTACGTATTGTGTGTTTGGGAAATTAATTTGAGCAGCTGTTCGCAGTGCGGCTAAACATCTCGTATATATTGGGCTTGCATATCATTATTATATTTTTATTATACGACCCATGTTCGTGTTCTCATATTTGTGTACTTGGTTTTAGATTCGATTACAAGCGCAAACAGACGGCGCTTTTTGTTATCAATTTGTCTCGACCGAAAGCCGCAGAACATATGTTCAGCTCTTTTGCCGGGCCATCGAATTAATTAAGCTACTTTTCTGCGGCTGTAAACAGAGAATATAAATAATTAAAAAACACAATGGGTTATGGGACATATATATAGATATATAGATAGGGTTTATTTGTCAAGTTGGCAGGCCTTCGTCACATGCAATCGAAAATGACACATCTGTGTCTATATATATATGTATATAGTAGGTATTATCTGTGTTGCAGCCTAATCAAATCCATAAAAAAAAACCAGACTGTTCTAGTCGGGTGTGCTCAACTGATAGATACTCTGTACTCGGCTACACGCAATATTGATATTAAAAAAATAACATTTCTAAACAACTTTTTTTCTCTTTTAAATGTTTAAAACAAAATTAAAAAAATCGGTAATTATCTATTTACATGCGTTTTTTAAATCGATATTTATCGATTTTATTGCTAAAACGCGGAATGTTATCAAATTTCCTAAATATTAGTTTAAAAGTCGATGTTATCGATTAACATGCGTTTTACAAATCGATATTTCTTGATTTAGGCTAAACGCAGAAAGTTATCGAAAAGTGTTTTTTTATACCCCTTTCGGAATTTTATGAGCACAGGGTATACACAAAAAAAAAAAAAGCATCTACATCTAATACGGTAACAATTTATACTCGAAATACAAATTAGCTTTTGGCATTAGCTACCTAGAACGAGTTGAACCCTTTGAACCCCGCTGGCCATTCAGCTCGAGGCTTGCCTCAGTGTTGTGCATAGCTGATATGGGCCAGTGCTGATAAGCGGCGCATAGAACTATTCAGAGCTGGCGACAATCGATCGATGCTGTCGTCAAAACAAATCACATTAGCATTGACCAGAGATGCGCCTGCAGATAGACATAGCCAAGTGCATTCCATATGCGAATGCATAGAAACATGTTTCCAAGTGCAGCCGGAGCCGGAGCCGGAGCCGGATCATGATCCGTAATCTGGCCTGTTAGCTAAACGAAGTGTGCCCTTAGCAGTCCGTAACATTATTGCATTATCAGGGGTAGCTGATCAATCGATCGATTCAATCGAATCCCGCTGAATCGGTAAATGTAAAATTTCTATTAATAGAGCCCATAAAAACGCTGCCTCAAATTAGCAACCGTTGATAAGGCGCCAACGGGTGACCTTCTCAACAAATCGGAGTCTAACATATGGACATATAGACCGGCATTAACTAACTAGGAAATTGGAGCGTTCCAATTTCATGTACAGTTGTGCCTGGCATCAGCTAAGAGATTACCTAATGCCCCGTGATTTAGTTGAGGGAATGCCCTGCATATATAAAACGAAAACTAGTTTAGTTGCAGTTCTTATACTATGTCTGGTTTTTAATCGGACTATTCTTGAGCTTGCATCATATTCTATTTTATGCTTATAGAGTTACAGGAATGCCCTGCATGAATACCCTAATAACTATCTTAACCTAAGACAGTTGTATGATATAAAAAGTCTGCTTTATTTTATTTATTGCTTATGGGAATACCCTGCATAAGAAGGAACAACTATCTTCATTAAGAATAATTCCCTAAGTTAGTTATTAATCCTATCCAACAAGTTCTAATCTAGTTGCTATCTTAAATCGATCTATAGGTAGCATTTCTTATAAAATTTGTGTAATCCCTTTTTAGTCTAACCATATCATTAAATAGTCATAGGCTATATAATCTATATGTATATACAATCAATCTGATTATAGAAGAACCTCTATATAATATCATGATTCACTCCAGTACGCATGCGGGATCGAAGTTCTTGCTTAAACAGCAGCTTCCATAGGAATATAACCTTCTGAGCGTGCGATTTCCATCCTGAGCACTTCGTATCTAGCTTTTCTTTCTTTTTTCTCACGTGCTTTAAAAGTAAAAAAAAAAACTTTCATCTATTTTCCACCCTCTCAGGTGAAATTGATATCATGCCAACCAGAGTTGCCACCCTTTTAAAATGTTTAATATTTCGATTTGTTTACAGCGCGTCTACTACCTGTCGCTGGAGTACTACATGGGCAGATCGTTGACCAACACCATGATCAACTTGGGCATTCAGAGCGAATGCGAGGAGGCCATGTACCAGCTGGGTCTGGACATTGAGAATCTGGAGGAGATGGAGGAGGATGCCGGCCTGGGCAATGGCGGTCTGGGTCGCTTGGCCGCCTGTTTCCTCGACTCGATGGCCACGCTGGGCCTGGCTGCCTATGGCTATGGCATACGCTATGAGTACGGCATCTTCGCCCAGAAGATCCGGAACGGTGAGCAGGTGGAGGAGCCCGATGATTGGCTGCGCTTTGGCAATCCCTGGGAGAAGGCACGCCCCGAATTCATGCTGCCCATCAATTTCTATGGTCGCGTTATCGATACGCCCGAGGGCAAGAAGTGGGTGGACGCGCAGAAGGTCTATGCCATGCCCTACGACAATCCCATACCCGGCTACAACAACAACCATGTGAACACGCTGCGTCTGTGGTCCGCCAAGTCGCCCGTCGACTTCAATCTGAAGTTCTGTAAGTAATCCTGGCACCCGAATATCCACTCGACTTTGACTAATCTCTTTGCTTGCAGTCAACGATGGCGACTACATTCAGGCCGTGCTGGATCGTAATCTGGCCGAGAACATCTCGCGTGTGCTGTATCCCAACGATAACTTCTTCGAGGGCAAGGAGCTGCGTCTGAAGCAGGAGTACTTCATGTGCGCCGCCACGCTGCAGGACATCATTCGCCGGTACAAGGCCTCCAAGTTCGGGTCGCGCGAGGCGGTGCGCACGAACTTCGAACACTTCCCCGAAAAGGTGGCCATCCAGCTGAACGATACGCATCCCTCGCTGGCCATACCCGAACTGATGCGCATCCTGGTCGATGAGGAGCATCTGGAGTGGGAGAAGGCCTGGGATATTGTGGTGCGCTCCTGCGCCTACACCAATCACACGGTGCTGCCGGAGGCCCTGGAACGCTGGCCCGTCTCCATGCTGGAGTCCATACTGCCGCGTCACTTGCAGATCATCTACCACATTAACTTCCTGCACATGGAGAATGTGAAGAAGAAGTTCCCCGAGGATCTGGACCGCATGCGTCGCATGTCGCTCGTCGAGGAGGATGGCGACAAGCGCATCAATATGGCCCATCTGTCGATCGTTGGCTCCCATGCGGTCAACGGCGTGGCGGCCATACACTCGCAGATCCTGAAGGACACGCTGTTCCGCGACTTCTACGAAATGGATCCCAAGAAGTTCCAGAACAAGACGAACGGCATTACGCCACGCCGTTGGCTGCTGCTCTGCAATCCGGGCCTGTCCGATCTCATTGCCGAGAAGATCGGCGACGAGTGGCCCGTGCATTTGGATCAGCTGATCGCCCTCAAGAAGTGGGCCAAGGATCCCAACTTCCAGCGCAATGTGGCGCGCGTCAAGCAGGAGAACAAGCTGAAGCTGGCCACCATTCTGGAGAAGGAGTACGGCATCAAGGTCAATCCAGCCTCCATGTTCGACATTCAGGTGAAGCGCATCCACGAGTACAAGCGCCAGCTGCTCAACTGCCTGCACATCATCACACTGTACAATCGCATCAAGAAGGATCCGACCGCCAATTTCACGCCGCGCACCATCATGATCGGCGGCAAGGCTGCTCCGGGCTACTATGTGGCCAAGCAGATCATCAAGCTGATCTGTGCCGTTGGCAATGTGGTCAACAATGATCCCATTGTTGGCGACAAGCTGAAGGTTATCTTCCTGGAGAACTATCGCGTCACGCTCGCCGAAAAGATTATGCCCGCTGCTGACTTGTCCGAGCAGATCTCGACGGCTGGCACTGAAGCCTCCGGCACCGGCAACATGAAGTTCCAGCTTAACGGCGCCCTAACCATTGGCACTCTGGACGGCGCCAATGTTGAAATGGCCGAGGAGATGGGCATGGACAACATTTTCATCTTTGGCATGAATGTCGTTGAGGTGGAGGCACTCAAGGCTAAGGGCTACAATGCCTACGACTACTACAATGCCAATGCCGAGGTCAAGCAGGTCATCGATCAAATCCAGGGCGGTTTCTTCAGTCCCGGCAATCCGAACGAGTTCAAGAACATTGCGGACATACTGCTCAAATACGATCACTACTTCTTGTTGGCCGATTTCGATGCCTACCTCAAGGCACAGGATCTGGTATCCAAGACCTATCAGGTAAGCTGATCCATAAAAATCCTGGCTGCAAATCGATTCGGTTCGGAACGCGATCTTGAACTGAGATCTTCACCAGGTTTAAGGCCTGTTTCTGCTCGTTTCTTTTGCAGCCTTGATTGAAATCTATCTATCTATTTATCTAACCCAATTTATATTTTGCAAAACAGAACCAGGCCAAATGGCTGGAGATGTCCATCAACAATATTGCCTCCAGTGGCAAATTCTCATCGGATCGCACAATTGCCGAATATGCCCGCGAAATTTGGGGCGTTGAGCCCACCTGGGAGAAGCTGCCCGCACCGGAGGATCAGCAATAAATCAATTTTAACAATTTTTGATATTATATATTTTATTATTTGTGTGCTTTACTTTTGTTAAAGTCCCATTTTAGGAGCCAAATGCAACAACAACAAACAATTGAAAAAGAAATGAGATATGACAGAAATGAATTAAGCTAGCGCTAAGATGTAAACATCGATCGGGCTCATTGTTAAATATTAAATATCTTATTTAATAAATTTTAAACAAATCCATTTAATTTGCATAATAAAACAAAAACAAAAACACCAAAAATTGATTCCAGAAATTCAATTATAAGACAATAAGTCCGTCCGTCCGTCCGTCTGTCCGTCCGTCCGTATGTATAAACGCAAGGATCTCAGAACCTATAAGAGCTAGAGACTTGAAATTTTAGATGTAGGTCCTCCTAGTTCCCGCGCCGAACGAGTTTGTTTCCGATAATCGATAACTTACTCCGTTTTCAAGCAATCGATAAAAATCGATATCGATCTCCTGTTTTTTGGGCTATTTTGGTAAATAATAAGAGCTAGAGTCATCAAACTTGACATATAGCTTCTAAAATAGAATATATATAAGCATTTGATGTTGGAAGAAGAAAAGGGAGCTCCCGACTAGAACATCTTGTTTAATATTATGGTCATCCAAATGGCTTGGGTATGCAAAGTAAGTATATTGATTTAGAAAACAGTTAACTTAGGTGGTATCTCGCCAATCCAGGTTTATCGTGGACAAACGTCAAAGCCGTCTTCTTTGAGTAAGGCTGCACCGTCACGTAGGTATTCGGTGAGCTCTGGGGCTTCTCCTGTGTCGTGGTTGGAGGAGGTCTCTAAAGGATCTTTTCTTGAGCCTTCTGACTACACACCTCTCAGCGAGGTCTCTTGTGTGGGTTGGCGAATGCTTCGCCTCTGAGATTACTTGGCCGACATAGTCTAAAAATATCGTTTTGGAACGTGATATCTCCGCGCGGAGCTATGTCGTTTTGGAGTTATGTCGGTTTGAAACGTCATATCTCCAAGCGGAGTTATGTCGTTTTGGAGTTATGTCGTTTTGGAACGTCATATCTCCAAGCGGAGTTAGGTCGTTTTGGAACGTACTACAAACTACAAACTACAAACTACAGACTACAAACTACAAACTACAAACTACAAACTACAAACTACAAACTACAAACTACAAACTACAAACTACAAACTACAAAACGTTCTCCGCGCGGAGAACGACCTAACTCCGCGCGGATATATGACGTTCCAAAACGACATAACTCCGCGCGGAGATATGACGTTTCAAAACGACATAACTCCAAAGCGACATAACTCCGCTTGGAGATATGACGTTCCAAAACGACATAGCTCCGCGTGGAGATATGACCTTCCAAATCATCACGCTTTTTTTCAAAATAGAGGTCGGTGCGAAAATCGAAACTTTTTCGATGATCATACCCTGAACCCAACAATAATGGGTATAAGGTATATTGTATTTGTGCAAAATCCAAATGTATGTAACAGGCAGAAGGAAGATGTAGGTCCTCCTAGTGCCTGCGCAGATCAAGTTTGCTTCCGATAATCGATAACTTAGTCCGTTTCCAAGCAATCGATAAAAATCGATATCGATATCATGTTTTTTGGGCAATTTTGGTAAATATTAAGAGCTAGAGTCACCAAACTTGACATACAGCTTCTAAAATAGAATATATATATGCATTTGATGTTGGAAGAAGAGGGTTCATTGTATCCCCTAGTCGGGAGCTCTCGACTTGAGCCTCTTACTTGTTATTAGTGCTAAAGTAAATGAAGAGTAGAAGAGGGTCCAGACTATCCTCTAGTCGGGAACGTCCGACTAGAGCCTTTTACTTAATTTTCTTTTTTATGTTTTCTATGTTATGTTATGTTTGCTTACATGTATGTACATAACATATATATGTAAGGGACCTGAAGATGTTCCATATCCAATTAAAGTGTGACATCTTCTCTAAACCTGAACCCGTAGCCATGGAAACAATTTCAAAATTTTCGGTGCACATATTAAGCTGAAAAAAGTAAACGGATTTCGCTAGAGCAAAATTGACAGATAATACCGATAATACCGATAAATTCGTCAGGCGTCAAGCGAATTATGGAGGAACGTCTAAGGCTACTGAGCAAAACGCAGCCACAATCCGCAATGCCAACAAAAATACGACGAATCCGTCGCGTTTGTGTTAATATTGAGGCCAACGGCTGTCGTCCTTGCCGTTGCTTAAAGTCAATGAATTCACCGTATTATCCGGACGAAAGCGTGTACTACAATCCTTGGAATCTGGACAAAAGCAACCAATTGCAGCAGCAGATGAACTCGTCAGTCTATGCCTATGCCATGCACAATCTGTGCTCGTCCGGTATGGCAGCCGGGTCGAGATCCGGCTTGAATTACAGCGGCACACGCATGCCGGCCGGGGTAACCGTATGCAACAATTCCAGCCAGGAGGAGGCCATTGCGGAGCTCAAATATATGCTGGACACGCTGGAGCATCAGCAGCATATGACCGATATGGGAGCCTACTATAGCGCCGCTACCCAGGCGACGAATAGCCTAATAAGCCAGCCAAACTTTCACCGCTGCGTGCACCCCATCTTTCATCCACAATTTCATCAAAACTTTCGGCCAAACCTGCGGCCAAGCTGCCAGTCGAGCACCTGCTCAACTCACGCCTCAATGAATTCCGAAGGCAGCGCCCATACGGTTCTGGATAACACCCAGGACCTGGGCGAGTCGCTTACGGAAGATACAAAGGCGGAGGGTAAAGAGGCTACCGAGGACACGACTCCGCAAGGCGAACGAGATAATCAGATTAAGACGCTTACGGATCTGATACGCCAGACCATGCGCAAGCTGGACAACTACATGACGCTGCAATCCGTGCAGCAGCAGCAGCAGCAGCAACGACAGCAGCAGGCACAAGGCTCGCAGCTGAACATGAACCCGTATCTGGATCTGCCGCGGATGACACAATACATGGAATCGTCGCTGCCGATGACCCTGGTAAACAGCCTGCAGCAGCCGGCCAAGACGCGCGGCAAGCGGCTGGTCAAGGTCATGCCCGTGCAGCCGCTGGTCATCATGCCGACACAGACCGCAACCGCACCCGTTGCAACGCCAGCGCCAGCTGCTCCGGTCGAGCCGCCCGCCAAGTATCGTGTGCGTGTCCGCAGGAAACGTCTGTCCAGCGCAAAGTCCACTAGCAAGAGCCAGGTCGCCGAGAGCTGCCCGGCCAGCAGCTCCCAAGTGGGTAAGTTGCTAGATCAGCCCACTTTTGGGTTTTTCAATAAATGCCCGTTTCCTTTGTTTTCCAGAGGCGCCTGGGCAAAATATGCGCGACAGCAGCACCACCATGTGGTGTCCCAGGGATTGCTGCAAGCACTGCTGTGGCGTGGTTACGGAGAGCAGGACAAGATTACCCAAGCCACCGGAGCCAGCACCAGCACCAGCACCGGTTGCTCCGCTACCCATACCCATACAGCTGTACACGATGGGGACGCAACCGAGCCTAATCGATGGGAGCAGCTGTCCAGCACGTACGGAGCGCGTGCCTCCACCTCTGTCCAAGAAACCGTCACCAAGGCTGCAGCGGAGCAAACATGATTCCGACTATGAAGTTGGCTACCTCGAGGATAATGAACTGAACCGAAACAGGGCTAGCAAGCTTAGCTACGCATATATCGAGGAGGAGGAGGAGGAGCAGGAACAGGATCAGGGAGATGAGGAAGAGCACGAGCTGCAGCAACAGAAGCAGCAGCGCCAACGCCTCCCCCAGAAGCTGGAACCGGAACCGGAACCGGAGACGGAGACCGAGCCGGAGCCGGAGCAAAGTAGCTCGGATCACTGGTATAATAACGCAAGGTATAGTCTGGCTCAGTTGGAAAAGCAGGAGAGCTACTTTACCAATATGGAGCTGGAACGGGAGCTGGAACGGGAGCGGGAGCGGGCAGTGCAGGCATCGGGGAGCACCTGCAACAAGTTGCAGCAAACAGATTCGTGCAGCACCATGGACAACTCAACGGACAGCAGCACAACGCCAACACGTTTCATAGCCACCACGGACAAGTCGGTGTCGACCAACGACATGCAACAGGTGTTGCAGGCTGCAAAGGGTCCGCCTGTCAAGATTGTGCGCATCTGTAAGGCGTCCTCGTTGAAGTCCAGGCGCGGCAAGTCCTTGACCAAAAATAAATCCAAGGCTAGGGTTAAGTTCGATAAGGGCCAAGCGAAGCTGCATAGGGTGGAGTCCAATGTGAATCCCTTCCTGGTAGCGCCGCACGAGCAGCTGCCCAAGTATCGCATACTCAGGTCCATCAGCGAGGCACGGTCCGATGCCGGGCAGTCCGGCAAAAGGAAACGCCGCTATACGGCCGAGCAGGAGGCCCGGTATCGCCGGCTAATGGAGGAGGTCGAGAGCATAGAGAGCGAGATGGAAAGGAATATTAGCAATGAATTCAAGTGCAATCCCATGGCCAGTAATTCACGCTTGCGCTGCCATGGCGGCTCAGTTCCATCCGTTTATCCGACCGGCTGGACGCAGTGAGAAACAACAGTAGGAAAACGCAGCAGGCCATATTTGTATACGAGTTAAGTATTCGAAATTTTAACAGGGGGAGATGGATACAAATTAACTGAGCAACTATGAACAAAAATGAGCCTCAAGTGAGTGAGAATGGTCGTGGCGTTTCGGGTCGTCCGGAGGGGGGCGAAGAGAGCGACGGATGGCCGGAGGCCAGCTCGAATCCTGCGATAAAGCAGAGAGCATGTGTTTCCTGTTGCAAGAATTGCGTGGTGCATCGGCTTGATGTTGAATCTGGGCTCAGACCCGGCTCCGATCCTCAACGCACAGCTGATCAATGGGACAGAACCGACTCTGAGCTTCAACATCAGGACAATTCATGGGACAGAAACAATCGCGAACCTCAGCCAACTTACACATATGAGCCCAAATATAAACTTCTAGCTAATACGATAGATCATGACTATTTCGAGCGTCCATCCCGGCGCAGCTCAACAGTCCGAAACTATGCCGAACCGCAGGGTCAAGCTCACTATCCTCCGCCTCCGCCGCCGCCACCGCCTCCTCCGCCTCAAGCGCAGCCATGGAATGAAAACGTCCACCGTCCATGTCAGCCGCCAACCGATGCCTGCTTTGGGACTAGACTAGCAGAAGCTCAAAACGCTCCGAGTCACCAGAGACCCACCATACTGGTCATCGTCGTCAAGTAGGTAGAGCCCCAACCATATACTCGGCTGCTAACTTAACAAAGCGTGTCTATTGTTAAGTATTTCTATTTTCAGTCACCGAGTCGAACAAGTCATTTAATCTGTCCATCTTCATACTCTCGATCCCACAAATTTCAAAAAGCTTGTCTAGGTATCTTGGTATTCCAGTGCCAGCTTCTAACCCTAAGATTTCCATAAGGCTTGGACAACACTCTCAGTTGTGTTATTTAAGTAAATTAAATCTTATAAACTGGAGCTTATGATAGTATAGAATATGCTAAGTAGCTTGTTATGTTTGTCTGTCTGTTGGGATCTCTGAATACAGGAAATTTTCTGGTCGGAGCCCTTTCGACTAGACCGCGTTGCTTTGCCCTATAGCTATATTTGATGCATTCCCAATTTAGCAACAAAAATCCAGCTGGAGCCGCTTTAAAAAATGGCTATAAGCCCGTAGCTTGTCAGGTCGACTATCGGGAACCCGCCAATCAGATGAGCGTTTATCAAGATAGATGTAGCTTCAACGGAAATAATCCGAATCGCACTTGTGGCCCTGCAGAGAATCAAAATTATTGGAATTTCAAGTAAGTTTTGCCAAGGATATATTTCATAGACTTGGGTTGTTTTCACAGCGAGTTTTTATTCGGGACATTTTTACACGCGGTGGAATAAATTCATGGGTTTTCTTTTATGACTAACCGCTTTCCGATTCTAAAGAAATCAAAAAACAAATTTCATTTGTAACCCGCCTACTGCGTTCCTATTAAACTCCATTATTCACTCGCTTAATCCACAGCGCAACTTATCCATATCAGATCCAGGAACAGCGCACCCAAAATGGGTAAGTCAACAAATAGCAGCTGTAACAGACCAAACCGCTTAGCTGAATACACATTTTTATAGACTATACGATTCGGCTGGCAGGTTTGACGATGAAGAGTGCTTGTGCAGTAGGTAAGTTGGAGAGCATCCTAAGCCACATAGACTCAACGCCCACCTTGTTAGACCAAACTGCCGACGTCGGACGGGCTATGAGCAGCAAATCCCAAATGGGTAAGTTTCATGAGGGATAACGTCATGTTTAATACGTCATCTGTAATGCAATAGATCAAGGGGACAAGGTCGCAGGCTTAGCTTTGGGCAGAATACCGCAAATGGGTAAGTTCCATGAAAGACCTACGCACGTTCAATATGTCATCTGTAATCCAATAGAACATCGGGTCCAGGTTTCAGGCCTAGCTTTGGGGAGCAAGCCAGAAATGGGTGAGTTTTATGAAAGGCCAAGACAGGTTTAATATATGATCTATTATCTTGTAGATCCACGGGCCAAGATTCCTGGCTTAGCTATGAGCAGCCAGCCGCATATGGGTAAGTTCCATCTAATTGAAGTCGGACTCAACACGTCATACATATAATTCTATAGGTTAACGGAGCGAATTCGCCGGGACACCTATGATATGGAACATGAAGCCAGACAGCGTCGTGGGTCGTCCCATTCCGGCCAAGCATTTCGGTGTCCAGTTTGCTGCCCAACAAACAATGAAAGATCAAATGGACTCTATGGTAATAAAGGATCAAATCGTGGCACGGGAACGATCATTGGGCAGGGTGAACGCAGTTTTGATATTGCTGGCGGCAAGGATGAATCCTTCAGCAGCATTACCGAACGAAGTGTAACCGATCCGAGCGGAACCGATCGGAGCGTAACCGATCGGAGCGTTACCGATCGGAACGTAGCCGATCGGAGTGTAGTTGATCGGAACGTAACCGAGCAAAGCACAACCGATCAGAGCGTAGCATGTGTCTGTGATTCAAGGTGTGATTGTGACTGTGAATGTGCGCTTGGTGATCTGGCGCATACGCTCGAGAGCCTTGTGCCCAATGAGGAGTGCTTGTGCTATTTGGAGCAGCTGGAAAAGGCCAGGAAAGCGAAGGCTAAGAAGAAAAAGCAGCGAAAGTCAAAAGTCGTTTACGATCGATTCGCAAGTCCACCCTTTGTAATCGAGCCGAAGACCTTTTGCCTAGGCTGCTGCAACAGGTCCTGTTGCCATTCCTGCTATGGTCATTGCTGTAATTCCTACTATCCCTGGTGCTTGACAAGATGAGGAAAACACAAAGGGTTGCTCAGCTGATGTGTAGCCCATGTGAAAACTGCTCGAATATGAAATTCAACCACAACACCACAAATAAAGTTATAGATCCTACCCCGAAACATAATAGGAACGGAAAACTGTGTCAATACTTGTCAAAATACGGGGCTTTTTATTTATAGAAATTGTTTTCTTAACACCTTGACGCACTGACAATGTAACTGAGCCTAAAGCTAAACCGATGGCAATTAGCTTAAAATGGCGGGATTACGCAAAAAGAGACGTACCACGAAGCAGGCCCTGCTGCGCCGGGCTGTCATTAAGGCGGGTCGCATTGCGAACGATACTGTAGATAGGTCTGCGCTGTATGATGTGCCCCAAACCAGATCCAGTCCCCAGGCCAAGGCCATAACTGTGCTGCCTTCCTTTAACAAGGATGCGCAAATGGTGCATATCATGCAGCGCAGCCTATCCAACAACTCGGGCTCCAGCTGGGAGCCGAGGGGTGCGCAGCGAATAACAAGAATCATGCCCAACAAGACTGAGGCTAAGCTGCAACATATTTTCCTCGAAACGCCCTTCAGGTCGGCTGAGCAACGCAAGGAGGCGGACAATGGGGCAGCAAAGAAATCGGGCCTCAAGAAACCAAATACCAACGGTAAGACCTACGCTAGAGCAGCTCCCTTCATGAGTAAACCATGTCGTTTTACAGATAACAGATCAGGAGTTAGCTTGAAAGCGTTTGAGCCTTCGAAGGGCTCCAAGGGCTCACGAGCTAGCTCCTTGGGCTATCCTTCTAGTTGGAATTTGGAAGTGCCCGGCGAGGACGAAGTGTCTGCAGTGGTTGCCAATGAGCTCAGCCTAAGCGAAATAGTCAATTGCGAAGTACTCAATCGTACTATCTACGATCACCGGCTGAACGCCCCGGTTACCCTACGTCGACCCACCAAAATTGACAATGCCGTGCAGTGTGTGCTTCCGCACATGCCAAAGACCGCAACACTGCGACGTAAGAAAGCGGCCGGGGTCCAAACCCAGACAACTACCAAGCGTAGGCTGTTAACCCCAAAGCCAATGCAATACAAGATACCACGACTGCAAAGGATCAGGTCCAGAATGTTTCCGATTGGCACTAGGCGCAGCATTTCTCCGACGGGCATTATCCGTATCGACAAGCTGCTTGGTGTCACCCCCAAAGGAATGCGGCCCCGTGTGTACAGTGGCAAAGCGGACTTAAATTCGGAAAGCATTTCGAACAATGTTGGTAAAAATCCCAGGAATCCCAAAAATCCTAAAAATCCCCGGCGACCGACAGCGCCAGGCTCCAGCAATGACGAGGAGCGCGGAACGAAAAAGTTGGATGTTGCCAAGGATAACAACTATGGCGGTTACACACCATCGGATTGCAGCTGCGACATTAAAAGCAATGAAAGCCTTGACAAGCAAAATAAATTAACGGCAGCCCCTAAAGAATCCTCAGAGCATTACAATCGCATCGATAAGATAAGTCAACCGCCCAACGGAAAGGATCGGAGAAACCAAAAACCCGAATCCAGTTCGGCTGAGTGTAAATGCAATGGCCAACCAGGCACCCAGTTGAAGACCCATCAAGCCACTTGCACTAAAGTAAAGTGCCCCAATAAGAGCTGGGATTCAAGAATGGCCAATGAGCAGGCAATAAAGGAAGCAGGAAACAAATCGGGCACGTCGGGCACCTCGAGCACTATGCATTATTGTTACTGTAGTCAAAAAAAGTCCAGTGCCAAGAACGTGGTCTTCGAGAGTCAAGGGTCGAACGACACGGAGCAGACACAGAGCAGTTCCAGTGAACAAAGGTTTGCCAAACCCGGATCGGACACGAAACTGCCTAAGGCCTCTGGCCAGTGTCAGTGTCCCAAGTGCTCCAATGCCGTGACACAGACGCCAATAAGAGGACAGAATGGACAAATTGCGACAAAAACCAGAGTGCATAGTAAAAACAATTCCGACGAATGCATCTGCGTATGCTCGAGTTGCATCGCAAAGGGCATGGGACCTGCGCAGAACTTCAAGGAAACAAGCGATGTGTGCGACTGCAATCCTAAGGCAAAATCTAAAAGTCAACCACCGAACGCAGCCAGGGAAATGGATCGTAGTGCAAAACAGAGCTCGAGAGAAACGAGAGTTCAGAGACCTGGCCGAGGAACAATGCAGAGCCCCAGAGAGGCAAATCCTTCAGGTCCTGAGAGGAGAATGACGGTGAGCTCAAGAGAACCAAGAGCTCAAAGTCCTGTTCCAGAAGTGTACCCACGAAGTACTATCGCCCGCCCAAAGAGCAGACAGGAGGCCGTGCAGCAGGTTAGATGCCAATGCCCAAAAGCTAAAGTTGTACAGGCACTGCATGAATTCAACGAATATTGCACCTACAAATGTCCTAATTGTTCAAATAGAGTTCAACAACCTACCATAAATACAGCCATGTATGCCAGAGAAGGGATGTACGGTATGAGCCCATGTCAATGTCCTGGCTGCAGAATGCTTCGAAATTCAGGCAGTCCGATGTTACGCTCATCAAACCCTCATAGTGGCCGAGACAGTCCAACCAGAAACCCAATGAGCGATTCGAGGAGGCAGAATTACAATGGCAAAAGGCATCATGACCCGAAGAAATCATCATCAAGCAGTGACGATTCATCCAATGAATCCATTGAAAGAATTCCGCCAGCTGTTTCCATAAGCTCAAACCAGGACAGGGTTAACAAGAGGGTACAATGCGATTGTAAGTGCCCCAACTGCGGCATTAACATCAATGATTTCTCCCGGGATGACAGAAATAATAGCGAAATAGACCAGAATCCAAATGATCTATATAATCAAACTCATCCCAGGCCAGATGCTGCGACAAGGGAAGCTAGGAACGCACAGGAGATGGGAGCTAATTTATATGGATCGAATAGGTATGGAGCCAATAGCCAAGGCAGCCAGGAAGACGGCGATCGGGAGTGCAAAATCTGTAATACCATAATGGCTAAGAAAAAATACGGTATGGCATCGAAAATCAAATTCGATATAGAATCGGACAACAAATACGGTATGGATCCAGAGCAAAAATACGATATGGATCCAAAACACAAATACGATGTGGATCGGGAGCACAAATACGATATGGATCCAGAGCAAAAATACGATATGGAATCGGACAACAAATACGTTATGGATCCAGAGCAAAAATACGATATGGATCCAAAGCACAAATACGATGTGGATCGGGAGCACAAATACGATATGGATCCAGAGCAAAAATACGATATGGATCCAAAGCACAAATACGATATGGATCGAGAGCACAAGTACGATATGGATCGAGAGCACAAATACGATATGAATCGAGAGCACAAAAACGTTAAGGATCGGGAGCAAAAATACGATATGGAAGCGAAAAGCAAGCACGATGCGAATTCAATTCGGAATCGGAGGCCACATTGCAACTTGGAGACGTGCAATAAAAAGTGTAACAAGTGTAAAATAACACCGGCAAAAACCAAAACGGGCGATGCCATGGTTAATCTTGTTGTGGACGATAAATGTAATGTGAATCAAATCATTCAAATCTTGCAGGAGACAGTTTTACAGCTGGAGGGACAAAAGAAACTGCTCAGTCAGTCCGTGGACAATGCGGTTGTCACCCAAAATGAGAATATTAACAATGTTCAGAAGAATTATGCAAATGGCACTTTGACCTCCTTGAATCCCAACTTTATGCCAGAACCTTATTGCGACAAAAGAAACTGTCCAGTCTATATGTCGGAATCTCCGGATCAGGAGCAACTATATAAGCCGACGGCCTATAACACATATCCAGAATACAATCCAATTCAACAGCGAAAAGTTCAGATAGAAGGTAGTCCCCAAGCGACGCGAAGAAACAGAAATCATGCTGCTTACCAAAACCAATCCAGCTTGGAGTATCGGCCAACAGATGCGTTTGAGCCCCATCTGCCTAATCAAAATTATGATAGATTTTTAGATATGGATCCGAATGCTCCCCAAGATGGTGGCCTGCGCAGTCGCAGCGGCAGCGCGAATCCCTTGAAGGAATACGCCAAGATAAGCTCGTTGCCGCGTGAAATACTCCAAAAGATCAATCCTACAAAATCATTCATAGATATGTTTCATATGGCCATGGCCTTAAAAAACAATAAAGGCATCTTCCACAATCCTAATGCACATGCCTCCATCTACGGGCAAATGCCCAAGGAACAAGAGTTCTTGGACTATGCACAGTATGAAAGCAACATATCAGCTGCTGCTAAAAGAAAGCAAGCGGCTGGCAAACAGCTCGCTAGAGATCCATCAGCGCGAGATCTACGATTCTATCTACAAAATCCACCATCAGTGGAACACATTAACAAAAACTCTCCAGGACACAGCAGTTCGAAATATCCTACAAGCAAATATCTAAAGCAAAACTTTAAATTTTCCTCCCATACAGGAATTGGCGAAAGAAGTAATAGTCCGCCACGGCTGCAGGGACAATCGGAGCATGAACACCGACACCACAGACCGCAAAGAGATGAGTCTCATTTTTTTCGTAAAGATAACAACGAAAGCATAACCAAAAGTCAAATTGCAGAACAACATAATCGAGAGGAACTAGTCCGGCGACAACCAATGGTGTGCTCTGGCATCTATGATAAATCGAAAAATCCATATTTTAGGCGAGAACTGGCTCAGAGAGATTTATTTCGAAAGCACAGACATCGTAACGCTGGTTCGGAATACACAGAATTACGTGAAGAAATTCCATGTCAAGCACAAGTTCCAAATATAATAAAGGAAAACCCATTTCTTCAGAAACGGGAAAGTTCTTGTATTGTGCCGCCGTGTGAATTCCGGACACGTCAACTTCAAGATATGCATTCTTGCGGCTTGGAGTTCTGTAGAAAATGTTCCAAGAATTCCAAGGTGTTGATCCACAGAAAACCATGTTCCGACAAAGAATTTAAATATTGCAGTGAATTCTGTTGCATGGAAAAACCCAAGAGACGCGATCTGCAAAAAATGCAACCCGCTCTGCCTGTCTACGGGCATTCGAAATCGCAAAGTAGCTTCGCCTCTGGTAGATCTAGGCATCGAAGAAAAATGGCATCCCTACCCAAGCGGAAGATAAGTTATCTAAAATTGGAAGATTTCTCATCCAAGAACTTGGAGTCCAAGCACTCGCAATCATCCGTTGTCAATGCCTTCCGTAAAAAATTACAGGATTTAAAAGAAAATTCTTTGCAAAAAAAGAACTCAAATTTGGTCCAAAAATATACACCAATATATAAAGTTGATCTGCTCGGAAACAGTTTAGATCCATCTAAATCATTACCATCCAAATCAAGATGCTTATATAATTGCAAAAGTTCCGAAATTCAAAATAAAGAGAATACGGCCGATTTGAGAGCAAAGAAATCGAAATCGAAAAGCAATCAATCATTTTCACAAGAACCAAATGGAGAGAAGAAAGTAAAAGAAGCGCCAGATCTTTCGGAAGCGAAGAAATCGGAAATGAAAGGCAATCTTTATTTGAGCAGAAGAAAAACTGGTGCGAAGCGAGAAACTGAAGGATCGGATTCAGACTTTAAGAAATTTGTAGCAAGAAAAAGCCCATTTCCAGCCAAAGGACGGGCAGGTGCAAAGGCAGAAAGCGATTTTTCAAATCATTCGGCATCAAAGAGAATCAAATCAAAAACCAGCTTAATACCGACCAGAAAACGGGCGGGTGAAAAGAAAGAAAGCGAAGAATCCCTTCTTTCAGCTTCGAAGAGTCAATCAGGAAGCACCCTGCTTCTGGCCTCAAGACGGGCAGGTGAAGGGGCAGAAAGCGAAGAATCAGATCATTTTGAAAGAAATCAATCTCTAATCTCAATTGGTAAACGGCGTACAAGTGAAAAGAGAGCGAAAGAGATTTCGTACAGCGAGGAGAGCAAAAACTCAAATTCAATATCGTTCGGTTTATATTCTTACCTAAATAAAACAAAAAAGGGAAGAAAAGTACCTGTGGAAATGCCAGAAATAACTATTGCCAATGATGCTCAACTAGAGTCCACATACAGGACGAAATTGCAAGGTGTGCTCGCCCTCGGCAATAGAACAAAGAAGGAGAGGAAGGCCGTAACGATACCCCCTGAAAAGCCAGTGAATAAAGTAGTATCTGCGTCAAGTGGATTTTCTAGTTTCAAGCATCGCAAGTCACTTCGCAATGCGCACAAAGAACAAAGCGATTGCGATGATGTGAAGGTACTCTACGATTCCAGCTATAAATTTTCCAAGCACAGTTACGGAGACGGCGATTCAAACGACGAGTGTGAAACAGATTTTAAGAGACAAGCCCTGTTCAAAACGCAGCCAAGTGCAAGTCAAAATGATTTCTTCTGCATGCTGAAAGCTCGAGATAAATATATGGGGTGCCACAAATATTCAAATTAATTGGCAAACTGCGCATTAAAGCAGCATCAAAATTTTAGGAATACGTTATTTCAGTTATTTCAATAAAAAAAAAAACAAGGTGACAACAACAACAATTGTTGATGGCTTATTAACACATTTTTCAACACTTACCGAAACACTTAACCGAAAACACCCTGTGGCGATAGTATGTGGCGGTCAGTCGACTTAATATATCGATAGGTCTGCACAACATCAACAATTGGGCCTCGTAATTGTTGGAAAATGTTAAATTTTTTAAATAAAACCCGACAATTGCTCTATCCGAATGTGCGCAATCTGTCGCATACTCTCACAGCCTGCCAGAGCAATGTGACCGCCGAGTCCACAACGGCGGCAAGCAATAATGCGGCCAGTCCGAAGCCGGCGCTAATATTGCCACAGAACTATGGCGAATATGCGCCCGTAAATCGAAATGCCGCACGGCAGGCGTGGATTGAAAATGTTGATGCGGTGCCAGAGCGTAAAGTGGGGCTTATGGAACTGCATCCGGATGTCTTTGCCGCGCAGCCGCGTGTCGACATCATTCAGGAGAACATTGAGTGGCAGCGCAAATATCGTTATGTAAGCATGGCCCACACCAAGACACGCGCCGAGGTGCGCGGCGGCGGTCGCAAGCCCTGGCCGCAAAAGGGCATGGGCCGTGCTCGACATGGTTCCATACGATCACCACTGTTCAAGGGCGGCGGCGTCATACACGGCCCGCGATCCCCCACCAGCCACTTCTATATGCTGCCCTTCTTCAAGCGGGTGCTGGGCCTCACATCGACGCTGAGCGTTAAGCTGGCGCAGGACGATTTGCACATCATTGAGAACGTTGAGATACCGACACGTGATGCACAGTTCATCAAGGATCTGATACAAGAGCGAAACTGGGGACCATCAGTGCTCATTATTGACAAGTAGGTTGTGGGCTTTAAGCATATTTCTCCAAGTGTTTAATTGAAGCAATTTCCTTCAGGCAAGATATCTTTCCGGAAAACATTTGTTACGCTACCGACACGTTGGGCTATGTGAATCTGATGCCCGCCTTCGGTTTGAATGTCTACTCCATGCTGAAGCACGACACCTTGGTGCTGACTGTTGATGCCGTCAAGCATTTGGAGGAGCGTTTGCTTTTCCAGCTGCATCGCAACGATGCGGCCAGTAAGGGCGCCAAATTCAAGCTGGATCAAGTTTAAATAAGTTTCCTTTTTGTTTTATTGTATACACTGCTCCAAATGCAATCCTTATCCAGTTTGATGACTATTGCTTAACTTGTTGTACTGCCTGCGAGCTACCTCTAAATACTGTGTGCAGTGGATCTTTGTCCTTCTCTGATAACAACACCTCGCATGTGCCTTGCAAGCGCTCCTCTAGTATGGGCTTAAATTCGCGCAGGAAGCCTCGTTCCGAGTTGCTGTGGTTACAAAGTAGCACCGTGGTGCCATTGTGATTAAACTCCAGCAATTCGTGATGTGACATCTCGCCAGTTATCATAAGATCTGCCTGCACGCCCCTTAACAATGAGCTGCCGGCGCCGGCGCAGATGCCGACAGTCTTCACAAAAGTCTTCGAATGATGCCCGACGGCAAAGGCCACGTGCACGCTATTCTCAATGTGGTCCTGCAGAGCATGCACCAGCTGCGAAATGGGCATGTTGGTCTCTATCAAACGCCCCGAACCAGTGCCCGGCTCCGCACCTGGTTCTGGAATCAAGGGCTTAATACCCTGAATGTCTACGGCCTTGGCCAGCCAATCGTTCACCCCGCCCGGCACCTTGTCCCAGGCAGTGTGCGGCGAATACAGTGCCACAGAGTTAACCAAACACGTGGCCACAATTCGCTCCTTCCAGTTGGCCATGGTGATGCGTGTGAGCGCCTTGAAAATTGGTGGGTGATAGCTGATAATCAGATCCGCCTTCTTTTCCAGAGCTTCGCTCATCACCGGCTCGGTGAGATCATTGGTCAGCAGTATTCGCTCAATGTGTTTCTGTAAATACTCCCTATGTATATCAAAGTATATTTAAATTGCATAGTTTTAAAGCATACATCTTTGCTTGGCTCGATCAAGAGGCCCACGTTGTCCCATTTCTCGGCCAGGGCTGCGGGCGCAAAGCTCTCCAGCTGTTTGACCACTTGGTCAAGTTTCTGTCCACATAAGGTTCCCATGCTCCTTCTCACACTGCCCACACAACGTAACATTCAAAACCAAACTTGTATATATATATTAACACATTAATTTCATCTGCAGCTGCATTTCTTTTGACATTCAGTGCTGGACAACGTCTGTGGAAGTTTCGTATGCATTTCCCAGCACAGCTTGATTCGGCGCGTGTTTGAATAATTATATATTACACGTTATTACAAATCAGCCAAAATTACACGATTTAATGCTTTATTTAACTGTAATACATATTGTTTTATAGTCTAGCTGGGGAAATATAGTCCACATGTGGGTAAATGGAGATAGAGAGACAGAGAGCGAGAGAAAATCAAGAAACAACTTTAAAGAATGCGCGAGGAAATAAACGAAAAGTGATGAAAATCGTTAAAAAAAATTAAGGAAAAATAAAGAGCAGAAGAAAAGAAGGAGAGGTAGAGAAAACTAAGAAAAACTCTTAAAGAGAGAGAGAGAGAGTTAAAAAGTTAGATAGAGAGAAGACTGCGAGAGAAATGAAGAAGAACCTTTAAGAGAGAGTGAGAGAATAGTGGAAAGAGAGTAATAGACAGAGAACAGAAAAAGAGTAATAGAGAGAGAGAGAGAGACAGAAGGAGAGATAGAAGAGAGCGAGAGAAAAATGTGCAAAAAACCTTGTAAAGAGTCCGAGAGAATATAGGAAAAATATAAAGAGCGAGAGAATAAAGAAGAGAAATTAATCGACAAAGTGAAACGAAAAAAAATGCATTGAGAGAGAGGTAAAAGAGAATGACAGAAAATTAAAATCCAAACATCAAAAAACGTGCGAGAGAATTAAAAGAGAAAGAGATTAAACGTTAGGGAGTGAGAGACTGATACAGAGTAAGGGAAAGAGAGTGACAGAGCAGGAGAAGGAAAGTAAAATTAGCGAGTTTTAAAGAAAAGTGAGCGAGAGTAAAATGCTTTGAGAAGTAAGCGAGATTAAGAGCGTAAAAGCTAGAGAGAGAGAGAGAGTGAGCCTGCAATATTGAACAAACTGAGATAGAGAGAGCGAGATTGTACTATTTAAAACAATTTACAATAGAGCAAACGGTTATAATAACTAAGACTTAATGGGAAAGATGACTTAAGAGAGAGTGTGAAAGAATATAAGAGAAGAAGATTTGTAAAGAGAAGATGAGAAACTATTGGATTGCAGCCAAAGGAAGAAATCTCAATCTCGCGTTAGAGAGCGGGAGGAGAGTCATCGAGGGAGAGTCATCGTGAGAAGCGAGGGATAGAGAGTGAAAGAGAAAGAGAGAGAAAAGTGAGAGATAGAGTAGAGGGGAGTCTGTGACGTGACAAAAGAGTGCGAAAAATAGGGTGCTAATGGTCCACGACGGTTAGACGTTAATTCTTTTTTAAATGTTAAATAAATCATTTAAAAATAACGGCAGCCCTCCTCTGCGCTTCTCAAAAGTTCAAGTGGGGTCTGTCCATTTGGATGTAATTTCAGTGATTGTTTTTTGTGTGTGATTAACAGAGTTTACAAACTGAAACTTTATTGTGAATTAAAAATGTTGAAGTCACAATTTGAATATAACAGCCGCCCTTCTCTGCGATTCTCAATAATGATAGTAAACCGTACATATTGTACGTAGTTGCTGTGATGTGCTTATATTTATTTAAAAGACTACTAAGTGCAATATGAATTAAAAGTGTTATTGTAATAAATAATGCTAGAGCGAAAGTCAGGCATACATATACTCCAGCTGAAACGAAGCAGAATGAAAAAATGGTGAGCAGAAATTTTATAGCATTCAATATATCATTAGTAAATATGTTAGATTAAAAATGTAAGTTGTCCCGGAATTGATTGTGTAATTATAATTTACTTCCGACAGACACGAAGTCTATTTACTTGCCAAAGTTCGACGTAAACGATGCAGGTCAAGCACGTCACATTTGTAAAGCACACTGCGTTGTTGTAAATGTTTTGCATACAAGCTTTGAGGTCCATAGTTCCGAAGCCCCAAAGAAAGTTTCTGAAAACATTATTTTTTAATATCAATCTCTTAATGTGCACACGCGGGAATTTCCCCAGGCCGAACGCTTATATTTAAGTTATGTTGTCTTTTCTTCGGCAATCTAAGCTTTTCGAAAATTGAAGCTACCTTTTGTTATTTTAAAATATAAGCTTAATTATCGACATCATATATATATATATATATATATATAAACATCGCAAAAATATATTTTTGCCTGGTAATATCAAAAATTGATTCTTAGTATTGCCACATTATCGATATATGTATGTATATCCAAATTATATTAAATTCCAGGTACTTGGGTTTTGCAAGACTTTTTCACTTCCGATCCCGCATTCCCCGAGGCATATTTGAAGCACTTAAGTGACGGTTTTGAAATTTTTGTGAACTTGCAACTTATTGATGAAAATCCCAAATGACGAATAACAAAGCAGATAAGAAAGAAGCAAACGGCAAAGCAAGCGAGAATAGCCCCAAGTAATTTTTAGACAGCGTGTAAATCACACGCTTGGCCCGCTAGAGATCGATGTCCTTTGCATTCCAGTTGTGTGACCGTATTTTCCCAAAAATGATTAGTAATACCAGACTAAGCATATTTCTTCTGTGTACACAATTGCTTGCTTTGCCGTTTCATTCGTTCCAGGAGTTGTTTGCTGACTTCTGCTGCAACAGCTGTCAGTTTGTGTTCCTTTTACTGCTGCAACAGCTGCTGCCATTTTTGGTATATTCTCTGCTTGCATCTTCGTCCAGGCGTCGCGCAGTTCATTCGAGTTTCGGACACGAAGCGTTGCACACGTTTCTACGACGCAAAGAAAATTCTAACATATGGTATTGTTATTGTTGTTTTTTGTTTTTAATAACTGGTATTGTTGTTGTTGTTATTGTTGCTGCTGCTGTTAAGTGCTTCCGCATTTAAACTTGAGCTTGAGTCGACGACGTTGCGCGCCCTTTGGCGAAAGCTGTTTACGCTCATTGATCTGGCAACGCTGTTTGGTTTCCCCCACCTACCGAAGCTTTGCTGTAAATATTCACAGAGCAAAGCTAAATTAAAGCAGCTTTAACACAACATTTTTAGTGTTATTTTCAACGTGAAGAAGACGAGACGTGTGAACGAATAAGCGGAGCGCAGTTTAAATAACTACAAGTTAAAGCGAAACGCGTACATAAATGTGGAACAGCATGCAAACCAAATTACAAATATAGACAAATCGCAGAGGTGTGTGTTAGTGCTAAAGCATAATAATTGTAAAACGATAAAAACGCTTGGCAAATATAAGAAAAATCAAAAATAAAACAAACAAAAGAGTACAACTTATAATTTGTGTGCATTAAACACAAAAACTAGCAGCAGAAGCTGTTTAGCAGCGTGTGGCTGTGACTGTTTGCGTAGCTGTGTGTGTGTGTGTGTGTGAAACGAAGACAGGTGTACAAGTGAAATATAAAGCAGGCAACTTAAAATATATATAAAATCCCTTTGCAAGTGGATGTATTAGTCGCATTATTCCCCAATGAGCAACCGAATTATGTATATTTGTTGTTGCTAATCATAACTTCGACATGCGCTAATCTCAACATTGCGCTGTTATTGCGTTTTCACTTGTGGTGCGCACACTATATTCGTTTCACTCGCACACACGGCAGCTAGGGCGACTCCTAGAGAGACGCTTAAAGCGCAGTTACGCGAGCTCCCAATATACATGCATATATGTATACGTTAACGAGTGTATGTGTGTGTGAGTGTGTGTATGTTTGAGAAGCTCGCGAGCTGGGGCAAAGCTTTAAAGCAAAGTTCAGCGTGTGAACTTCCATTTATATATTGAAGAAATTTTGCAGAATCAACGACAAGCAACAGTTGTGTGCTTACAAAAAAAAAAAAAAGAACGAGACGTAGGCACTACATTTGCGCGGCATTAAAAGGCAGCAGCAATCAGAAGTAGAAGAAGAGTAACTTTATCGAAATAAAATAAAAAGAGGCCAACAGCAGGCAACTAGCTCAAAATGTGGAACCAAACGGCAACAGCAGCAACAAGTGATAATAACAAGGCAAAGGAAACGGTGGAGGATTGTAGCTGTGCGGGTGGTAGCGTTGCCAGCACTGCCACAGCTGCCAGTGTTGAGCAGCAGCAAAAAGCGGCAATTGAAGCTAACAGTAAACAGGCAAAATTAGCAGCAACAACAACAACAACAGCAACATTTGGCGGCAAAAGCAGCGAGCAACAGCAGCAGCAGCAACAACAACAACAACAACAAAGCAGCGACGCCGCCATTAACAAGCACAAAGAATTTGCAGCACAAAGCGAAACAAGTGATTCTGGTTTCATCTCCGGCCCGCAATCAACTCAAATCTTTAGCGAGGAACTAAGCGACGACGAAACGCAACAACAACAGCAGTCGGAGTCGCAGGACAAGGGCCAGGAGCAGCAGCAGCAGCAGCCGGACAAACAACAGGCGGTGCTCGATTCGGGCATCATCGACGAGGTCGACGAGGAGGAGGAGGCGGAGGAGGAGGCTGTGGTGGCGGAGAAGACGACAAATCAAACGGCTGTAGAAGCTGGCATCGGGCAGCCGGCCGTCGAGCAAATGCGCTTCAAACACAATGTCGATACGGGCATACCCCAATGGACCGTACAGTCGAGCCTCGCTAGCGGCGCCAGTGGCATGAACAATCTCAACAACAACAGCAACAGCTCCGCTGGACGAAGAAGCGCCCCACAAAACAGCTGTGCAACAACAACATCAGCAACAAATGCAGCTGGAAATACTGCAAACTCAACTGCAACTGCCCCATTAAGCAGCAGCAACAACATCAACATCATGAACGCCTGGGAGCAATTCTATCAACAGAACGACGACGGCGACACGTGAGTAACACCTTAGTATTTCCGTTTGTAATTTCCCCAAAAAAAACAAAGAAACTCGGGGAGTATGCGACTTACAGTTTACCTGTAGCAAACGGACAGTGTTAGGCTGTACCTAATTTATGTTAGTGTTGTATAAGATTGGTTTTGAGTGCGCGCGGGCATCGAAATTTGTATTTGATGTATTTATATAGACTTTATAGACTAGCTAGATCCAAGTACGGAAGAGCTAGATAGAGTTAGACTTATTCAGGTTTTATATGGATCATTTTCACGCACTTACAAAGACTTTAGCAGCTCTTGACAATATCGGATATTCAGGTATGACTAAGGACTAGCTTACACCATTCGCTCTAATGTCTACAGGGTATTTAAAGATGAAACACTTTCGCAAAAATTTGACCACCAACTGTGGGGGATACTTTCATGAATCACAAAAACACAACACAAGACAATGCGACGGCGACTTCAGACCGCGACGACACATGTTAGTCAGGCACTCAGGGGTTTTCCTGGTATGTCAACTACCTGAACACACACACACACATATACAATGGTATAGAAAACAGGTTTTTGGTGGGTTTTTCAAGGCAAACGATCAGCAACAAGTGTGGGTTGTGTGTCAGGTAAAACATTACAGTTAGCTCATTTCTGAAACCTGGCTTGCTTTCTCTCCCTCTCTCTCTCTCTCCTTTCTACAGACCACTGCACTTGGCCTGCATATCGGGCTACGTGGACGTGGTGGCCGCACTGATACGCATGGCACCACATCCGTGCCTGCTGAACATCCAGAACGATGTGGCACAGACCCCACTGCATCTGGCCGCACTCACGGCGCAGCCGACAATTCTGCGCATGCTTCTATTGGCCGGCGCCGAGGTGAGTGGCTGACACGACGCACCTATCAACAATCTAACGATCCATCTATTTATCTGACTTTATTAATCGTTTAGCCCACGGTACGTGATCGTCATGGCAACACGGCGCTGCACTTGTCCTGCATTGCCGGTGAGAAGCAGTGCGTGCGCGCCCTCACAGAGAAGTTTGGCGCCTCGGAGATACACGAGGCACATCGCCAATATGGACATCGTTCCAATGACAAGGCTGTCAGTTCCCTGAGCTATGCCCACCTGCCTGCCGATCTGGAGATACGCAACTATGATGGTGAGTACGATTTGGAATCTCTCTCTCTATATATATATCATATATCATTTTCAATCGATCGTCTCCAAGCTCAGTTTAATTTCATTCAAGACGCATTTCACCGTTTGCGGCAAATCCACGGCAATTGCTGAAAACGGGAGTTTCTTATTTTTACCTCGGGCAGGAAACGGGTGTAAAAATTATAGCTGAAACCTAAAGAAACCCGGCTAGGTTCAGTAATAGCAGCAAAGTATTTCCCAGCTATAAAAGCTAAGTTATGGAAATTAATTTGGAAATTAGTGAAACTGAATGCGGTCAACTGAAAAAAATGTCTTTCATTTAACGTGCAATGCCGAAAATGTATTCAGGAATATCTACATTCAGCTACACCATATAGCATAATATTCTTGGCAAAAGTGCCCACAAAAATTGTTGGCAAATATTAAAAGAATTTGATTTGTTGCCAAAGGCGAATCGCAAAAGACATATATATAGCATATAGTTTTATATTCTGGCTGTCCCGCCATCGGCTAGCCGCAGTGCGAGACATTGTCTGCCCAAGTCAACATTATTTATATATAGGATAGAGTATAGATACATTCGCAATATGTGTGTGTATGCCAGAAATACATTGGCCTCCGCACATTTTTCGCCTGAAAATACATTTCTCATTCGGTTTTACGTTTTGTTATTGGTATACCCATACAAACGCAATATAGATGTTTATATATAAACAAAGGCGATTTTCTGTTTGACGTCAGCAAAGAATGGCATTGTTTATAATTTGTGCATACGATTTTGAGTCTGAAATTGTGCAAATCTCTAGCTTCAAGGCAACAATAACAACAAATGGTATTTCATTTGATTTCCAGCTCGTTTCATTTGCTTCTCACACACCCAGGCCAGAAAGCTCAGATACTTTTACGATTTTGTATCTGACGGCAGGCGCGGCCCTGTTTCCTTGATTGTTATTATTGATTTATTTGTATACAAATGAGTTTGACGCCTATACATATTGATTTTCAACAGGTGTGCGAGGGGGGGGGGGAGGCGATTGGGTGTGAGGGCTACGGCGCTTGCTCGCAGCTCACGAAATCTCAATTTTCCTTTGTAACCCAAAATTCAGCCGTTATACAACACTCAAAATAGAATAGCCTAATAAACTGGACGATGCTAAATGTGGTACAGTAATTGGAACACTTTGATACTAGAGCTTATTTTTCTTTGTATCCAAAAATTAAGACGTTATGCAACACTTAAAATAGAATGCACTAATATAGTACAATTATTAAAGCATTATTGCAATAATTGCCAACTTCTGGAAAGCCCTTTCTTATACAAATATCGTATAACTATAATGGGGCTTTTGAGAATTCTACATTAAAAAATTGAAAATTAAAACTTCCCATTCTAATTTCTGGGCATTTCTCACTACTTCAACTTATAATTTCTTTATAAAACAATCCTAGACTTTACTCAAAGAAAAATAACTGCAAATGGCAAACGTTTCACTTTGGGAATTACCACTGTACCTTGTGCATACAAGAGTTCATCAAGATAGTCCACAACATCGCATTGTTAGGCATGCAAAAAGTTTCCCATTTCAAAAATCGCTTGAAGAGCGCAAACACACCAAATAAAAATAAAACCAAATCTAAACCGGAAGAAAGTAAAAGTCGTCATAAGTAGTATATAAACAGACTTATTGTTCGGGCACAAAAGAGTTGAGGCTTGTGCAACTGTCGACACAAAAAGGTTAATAAACTTGACAGGGGCTTCATTTTATGGCCATATAACACACACACACACGGAGGTATTTACTTTAACCTTTCGTTTGTTTAATCGATTATTGTTTTTTTTTTTTTTGGACTTTGTATAACCTTGCTAAAAATACAACAATAAAAGTCCGTCGGTTCCCAAACATATGGTGAACAAACATTTAGCAGCTACTTTTATCCACACCAAACCGGTCCAACATGAGCATGGGCAACAGCTGCTGACCGAACAGACACACACGCACACTGTGCATGTGAGTGTGTGTGTGTGTGTGTAGTAGTAGTAGTAGTGGTAATCTACTTAAGCGTTCAGCAGAGCAGACATTACACATAACACGATTCGGTTTTGGGCTTATGTATATATCTTTTGGCCGGCTAGATCTATGCAGACAGAGCCGCCAAAAAAAAATATTACTAAAAAAACCGCACAACGACTCACAGATGCCCTTTCTTAGAAGCTGCTTTGCATTCTTAAAAACCTGCTCAAATCGTAATCTTAAATAAAAAACAATTCACTTTGAGTGCTCGCAATGGCTTATCCAATTGGCTTCTTCATAATTATATTTCCTTTTAATAACATTTTTTGTATATCAAAAAAAAAATAGATATATATATATTTATATTCGTAGCATATTTCGCCAAAATATCTTACTCAATGTGAAAGTTATTCTAATCACCTTTTTTAATCGTATCCCCATAAACTTAAACCAATTTCCATAGAAATTTGTTATCAAAATTTGTTAGGCACCATTCCAATCAATTTTAGCCGTCAGACACTCTGACGTCTGCCAAAGTTAAGCTACCCAGCTAGCTAGTCGAAGAAGAGTATCGAAAGAGCAAGCGAAACGATGACACGAGCACGACGACGGCTTTTTCTTTCAAATTTTTGGGTTTTCCCATGCACAAAAGGCAGACACATTAGCTTATATAGTATGCACATACATATATATATATATATATGTGTGCATATATTTTTAAAGCAATTTCAAATGTCTACTCGCTGCCAGATGTTATAAAATCATATTCAATTGGGTTCGCACAAAAGTCACAAGACTTTCTTGTTCAATTGACGTCAAAGTTTGAATGAAATGTATTTAATCCCGAATGAAGCAAACAAAACAGCAGCTATAATAATCAAGGGGCGTTGAAAGTAATTTCTTCGTATTCCGCTGCAGTTAACTGAAAACAAAACAAAACTAAAAAAAAAAACCGCTGAAAACAAATTCGTCATAATGTTTTGCAAAGGGAAACAGCAGGGAAACTAAAGCCTAATAAACATAAACAATTTCTTTTTTATCAGTGTGAAATAATCGGGATTTCCTTACAGAAGAGAAAGAAAATGTAGTTAAAATCGTAGCTAACATAAGCTAGTTAACATATGTCTGTTAACATATGTCTATTAACATATGTTAAGCAAAGTCAAGCTTACATAAACATGAAGGTTTTTTTCTTTGAAGAACGGTTTTTGTTTTTTGATAAATTAAATATATACATAAGTTAAAGATAATTTGTTCCTCTTTTAACTGTTAAGCTAACTTGAAAGTTCGCTCAATATTTTCGCTCTGTTAGTTAACATATGTGTGCATTAAGTGGCATTTATTAAATCTGTTATTATTAGCACTGAAATTTGTTCTAAATTTAATGTGCCATTTTCAGCGTGTCTTTCGATCTTTTTAATGCCTTCTTTTAGTGTTTGTGTGCTTAAATTAAATGCATAACATTTGCTGGCTTTTTCGAGACAGAAAATGTGGAAAATGTTACGAAAATAGCAGAATTCCTTCTCAGCGCTCCTCTGGCATTTCGCCAAGATTTGAAAACATAAAGTAAACATTTCGGAAATTAGTAAAGAAAATATTAATATTTAATTATGTACAAGTTCTTTCTGGCCACATCTTGTATGCGTAATACATAATTTAAAAAAACAATTTGTAAAGCCAGTTCAAAAGGTTATCGATAGAAAAAAGCCAACTTATCAGCAATTGTATTTTGTTTACATTTGCAAGTATGTAGCATAGTGTAAAACCAAGTTACAGACATACAAGTGTATTTCCTTTTCTTTGGCCTTTTGGAAATTCCCAGCTATTTCTATAATATTGTCCTAATTACTTACGATAATCGCTTCGGCACGGACGAGGTCATTGTAACACATTTATATAACTACACAGGTGTATATATATACATATATATATATATATATATATATATATATATATATATATATATATTCACTTGGGCTTCATTCGCGCGTGCCACACGCACACACACTCACCACTAAGTACCTGTGCTCCATGTGTATATAAATAATTGCACGCAAGCGCCTTTTATAAATAGAATTTCCGAGTTCCTTTTGCCAAGAGGTCAAAGTGTTTTTATTGGCTTTATATACGCCCATTTAAGGGGCCGTACGCAAAGCGAACTAATTGATTCTAATTTGGTATCTTACGACCGTTTGAACATTGAAGAAATTTCAATGGGATCAAGTTTCAAGATGAACTTCTACTGAGGAGTTACTTGAGCTATATGGAATTTCAACTCAGTGATCTGTCTTTACCTCAATATATATTCAATTAGTTTGCTCTTCCAACACTCAAAAGTTGTCTGCAATATGTTCCATCAAGTCCTGCCTCTTCAAGCCCATTCGTTTTGGCCTATAAAAGCAATCTTATCGTTCTAGTCTGCAAGTCGAAACGTCATTGACGTCAGCTACTCGAGACGCATTAGGGGAAATTCAGAACAATTAACCGAATGCGGCTCATTTGCAGCACATATGGCGCATCTGTGAATCTGTTGTAAATGTGTGTTCCGGGGTAAAATCTAAAGAAGTTTCCAAACGGCAATGATAGATAGATAGCTAGCATTGGGCAATCCGTACTTACCCGCTTGGTAACCATGTGATAAGCGAAATCCCATATCCGATGTGTACCGAATGCTACCTTGAAATGCGAATTTCGTCTGATGGTCGCCAAGCTGTGTTATCAGCTATAGAAAAACCCCATTGGTGGTCGTTTATTATTGCTATGACGGCGATTATCTTACATATGCCAAGTACATAACTTGAACGGACCAATAATGTTATCATAATGATAACTGCTATCAGCGGTTTTCCCGCTAACATATATACCCTATCCCAAAGGTGTGCAAGCGTATTGTCATCAAATGTGTTATCTGTGCCAGAGATCACAAATATTGCACGTATTCCCGATCGGGTCGTTGATATATTACCTGTCTGGCTACAACTCAATTAAT